GCTGGGATTACTGGCATGTGCCACCATGCCCGGCTAATTTTTTTTGTATTTAGTAGAGACAGGGTTTCACCATATTAGTCAGGCTGGTCGCGAACTCCTGACCTCAGGTCATCCACCCTTCTCGGCCTCGCAAAGTGCTGGGATTACAGGTGTGTGCCACCATGCCTGGCCATCTTGTTATCACTTTAGTTGGAATTTCCCTTATTGCCATGGTCAAAATCACGGGTTATAAAAATGGTCAAAACCCGTCTTATTATATATTTACTGATCATTTGTTTTCTTCTCTTTTGTGAATTGGCGTCCATATCTTAGGCCCATGGTTCTGTTGTTTCTTTGTGGTTTTGATGATTTGTTCAGTCCTTGATTTGTGATGCAGGTTGCAATTTCACACCATTGTTTGTCTTTTAAATTTGTGGTGCCTTTTCTCATACAGGACTTTGAAATTTGTAATAGAATCATATTTATCAGCCTGTTTTTTGATGACTTTGCCATCTGTGGCTTAAGAGGGCATTTCTTACCGCAAAACAAACTTACTTTTCTGCATCTCTCAGAATAACATTTTGGAGGGTTAAATCGTGCAACTATGTTTTCCTGTGGAGGGGAGTTGATTCCCCCACCTGCACGTGGACGCTTCCAGGGTAGGGCCCCTCTGTTTGTCCTCTCTACCTTGCATTCCCAGGGCAGCCGTATCTGGTGGGTGCTGGTCCTGACATTGCCTTTGGAGAAAGTTGCCATGGTGACCTGAGTAGAACAGCCCTGCCCTTAAACCCAGGCATGAGCTCTAGATTGGGAAGACAATCCAGGAAGGGAGAGAGAAGGCTCGTGACTCTTGCCTATCTTGTGTTAGGTGGAAGAACTCTTGGAGTCAAACGATGAGGTCATTATTCTGAATTACCTTTTTTTTTTTTTTTTTTTTGAGACAAAGTTTCACTCTGTCCCCTAAGACAGAGTGCTAGGGCATGTTCTCTGCTCACTGCAACCTCCGCCTCCTGGGTTCAAGTGATTCTCCTGCCTCAGCCTCCTGAGTAGCTGGGATTACGGGCACCCACTGCCACACCTGGTTGATTTTTGTATTTTTAGTAGAGACGGGGTTTCACCATGTTGGCCAGGCTGGTCTTGAACTCCTGACCTCAAGTGATCTGCCCGACTCTGCCTCTCAAAATGCTGGGATTACAGGCGTGAGCCACACGCCTAGCCCTGTATTTCTTATATAAAGAATTCTCTGATTCCCCTCCCCTAGGGGTATCATTGCCACTTGTTTTCCTTATAAGGAAAATGAGGCCTAGCAAAGCTATATGTCTAGATTTAATGTTATGCCATGTTAAGAACCCAGCTCTAATTTCTGCTTAGACTCCATTGTAGTATTATAATATGAAGGGATGCTTTGATGACTTTCGTACTACTCAGCAGACACCCATATTATTCATCCTGCGAAGGAGGTGCTGCTATCCCTGTTTTACAGATGAGAGAACTGAGCCTCAGACAGATTAGGTCCTATAACCAAGGGCATACCTTGGGTAAATAGAAGCACCAGAGGTGAAACTTTCGAGTTCCTGCCCTCCTCATACCACTGTTCTCTCAAAGGATTTGCAGAAGTACACAAAGCTACCAGGAAAATAAAAGTACATTCTTTTCTTTCCCTCCTAAAAAAAAAAAAAAAAAAAAAAAAAATCAACTAGCACAGGTGCTATTAGCAAATTGTCTCCACCAAGTGGATGTTTTCGTTTTTTGCTGATTTGCAATTGAAAATAAAGTACACATAATTTGGAAAACACTTAACTTTTAAGGAACACCTTGAAGGTTTCCTCCAACAGAGTTCATTAATTTAAAGTCGCTGTATTTTACTATTTGAAAATTTCACAGTTGAATGAGCTTGTGATTTCTGTTTATTGTTAACCCATACTCCTTTCAGAGTACCACTTGAACTTCAGCTGAGAATAATTTTCAGCCAGTTTGTTTTTAGTGTATGCCATCTATTTTTGCTAGTGGGAATGCTTGCTATTTCTCCCCGGAGAACTAACTATAAATTATACTTCAGAGAACTTCTAAATAAATATGTTCATGCCTCAGCACCTTAATGTGTTAATTAGCTATTAACAGTGTCAGTAAATTAGACCTGTCAAAAATAATGGCCTCCTTGACTAGGTTTTTACTACCACTTCTCCTGCTGGTGTTACTTGTAAGTTTTGCCCTCAGGAACTGTTAAAAAGCAAGGCTGTAGGGGTCTGCTTTGCAAAAGAAGAACTCTGAAAGGGTTTGTTGGAATCATCTTGGCTCTGATCTGTGGGTGCTGTAAGGACTGGTAGCCTTAGAACACGGAGAATTTACAAATCTCAGGCTTACGAGCAACTCCATTACATTTATGGTTAGCAGGGGAGTTTATCCCCAGCTCTTTGCTCTCCATTTCAGAAAATCTGGCCAATGATTGTCCTTGTAAATTGCCTTCTTTGTGCATGCGCAAAATTAGCAAGTTATTGCTACTCTTCAGGCTGGAGAAAGGTACCTCACTTTCCAAATCCGGGTTCTGGTTGGCACAAAAGAAGGACCTGACCAGATCAGAATCTGCCCTGCCCACTTCTCCTCTCATGCTTGTGTCAAGAGACCAAAGCGGGTCTTGCTGCCAATACCAGGGCTGAGACAGGGCATCTCAGAGTGAGAAACTTGGGACAAATGTTATGAGTGGTGATTACATAAAGTTTAAAGACTACTGTTATTTTCCCTGTTGTATTAAGAATCAAATTGGTTGGCCTGGGATTCTACCCACTGTTTATCATCTGGGAAATGCATTCCGCGTTCTCAATGACCAGATTGTCGAATTTAACCTTTGGTAAATTCCTGACAACTTGCACTTTCTGTTTACAAAGCATGGAAGATAACTAACGGAAATGCAAATTAGGGTACATGCTAATGTTTCCTGGGAGTATATATAAATAGATGAGTCCCCCATTTTTTGTTTATTTAATGACTGCAGTCAGAGTCCGTTATAAAACCTCAAAACCAGAGATTAAAATGAATTTCACAAAAAGAGTGAAACCACACTGTCCGAGTAGCCCTGGTGGTAAGTGATGAACCAGTCTGGGTTGTCCTCGCAGGCTCTCTTGAATCTTGTAAGGGACTGACAGGCTTCCCCTCTCTGTCTTGCCTCTACTTGCTGTCTGGGCTCTGGCTGGGGAACTTGAGGACTGAAGTTTAAAATAGAGCTGGTTCAGCATTTGGCAGTGGAGACCCAGATAGCCCTGCAGCACAATGTTTGCGATGAAAGAAGCCTTCATTATCCTGTTTTCCTAAAAATCAGTTTGTTTTGCTGTTTTTGATAGCCACGGTGTTAGTGAAATTGGTTTTTGTATGGAAATAGTTCACACTACACAGTAGAAGGTGGCTGTCCTTGCAGTCTGCATCTGTGGGAGTCTAAAGTGTTTACACTAAGTAGAGCAGCTCCCGTTTTCTCTTAAAAAACGGGTCCAAGGAATAGGATTAAAACTTCAATTTCATTCTTTCCCAAAGAAACACAGACTGGGGCCAGGTGTGGTGGCTCATGCCTCTAATCCCAGCATTTTGGGAGGCTGAGGCAAAAGGATCACTTGAAGCCAGGAATTTGAGACTAATCTGGGCATTATAGCGAGACCCTGTCTCTAGAAAAAATTTAAAAATTAGCCACAGGTGGTGGCAAGCGCCTATGGTTTCAGCTACTCAGAAGGCTAAGGCAGGAGGATCTCTTGAACCCAGGAATTGGAGGCTGCAGTGAGCTATGATGATGCCACTGCACTCCAGCCTGGGTAACAAAAGTGAGATCTTGTCTTAAAAAAAAAAAAAAGAAAAGAAAAAGAAGAAATTGAACTGGAGGCCACTAGTATGTACTCCCTAAATTCATGATTATCATGATTTTGGAATTATTATTTCTTGTGGCTTTGCTTGAACACCACTTATAAATGACTCGTCATATATTGGCACATGAGAGGTTTTTTCCAGTTAAAAAGTTTAATTCCAAATGTAAATCTGATGTAGGTATATATGTTCATTTGCTTAGCAAATATTTACTTACACCCAGTATGTGCTACTATCACTATTTTAGATTGAAATATGGCATTGTTTCAGGCTGAAATGAAAATGACTTATGTGGTAAAAGCTTATTAGTTTAAACCCTGTTAATGTGAAAACCTGGACAAAAGCCACACTGAAGTTTACCCTGTACCCTGGCTGTGCAAATAAAAATACGTGACTAAGAAAAAGAATAACACAGGAAGGATGAACAGACGAACTCACAGAACATACTTTTTAGGGTACTTTAAAGGCATTCATTTATAGGAGAACAGTTGACTTAATCACTATAAATGACTCTTCTACAAAATAGTGCTTTTAAAAACCCAGTTTTATTATATATGTCCTGAAAATAATAGTAGTTCACTAAAATATTCCCTTAGACCCCCCCATGGTTCATGATGATATTCCAGTCAGTCTCCTATTAATAACCTTCCACTAATATTGGAAGGTTTGACCCTTTGGAGCTCTTTCTGCTGCCCAGTTATAAATCTTAGCATTTGATAATGTCAGAACCATGAAAACACATTTTTAAGGTCCAATGAGCGGAGGAGCTACAGAGTTGCGATGGTGGCAGATGATGTTTTTTCACAGTACAAGGCAATGTTACATGGAACTTGTAGTCTGATGTGGGATGGAATCCATGTCTGCTACTTTCTGACTCACCTCTGGTAAGTCACATAACCTTTGTGTGCCTCAGTTTCCTCATCAGTGCATATGGAAATAACACTCAGAGATCTGTCCTGAGGATTCCGCATAAACCGCGCTTCACAGTGTGTGACCTAGAACAGGCACTCCCTGTAGATTAACTCGCTTTCCTTTCTTGCTTGTCTTACCACATGTTTTCACCATTACAGTTACCTTTTTGGAAAACAAACATCCAGAATGACAATGTAAAATGAGGATTTCTCCCTGGACAGCCACATGCTTTATGTAACGTAAATGACCTACTCTAATTGCAGGTTATATCCAGGCATGCAGAGGACTTATGATCGCCGCTGTCAGCCTGGGCTTCTTTGGTTCCATATTTGCCCTCTTTGGCATGAAGTGTACCAAAGTCGGAGGCTCCGATAAAGCCAAAGCTAAAATTGCTTGTTTGGCTGGGATTGTCTTCATACTGTCAGGTAAATAGCAACTTTCTTCCAAGCAAGGTAATTGATGATGTGAATGAAATCACACTAACCATAGTGCTTTCCCTCTGATACTTGTTAGGGCTGTGCTCCATGACCGGCTGTTCCCTATATGCAAACAAAATCACGACGGAATTCTTTGATCCTCTCTTTGTTGAGCAAAAGTAAGTACTCCTCTCCGTCTGTTTCCAGCTCACAGGAAATGTATATAAATTAATATTCTCAACCAAGAGACATGAATTTCCTATATGACTTTTGAAAGTAAGACATACTGATAAATGGTAACCGATGACATCATTCAAGATTAAATGTGTTATATGCCACATATGCAAAACATACTTTTAATTACTTTGCTAGTGTTGCAGTGTCTTGTCTCTAAACAGTTCAAGGCATCAAATTTAGAACTATAGACTTCATCGTCGGCTGTACATCATGAAACTGAGGTCAAGTAGAGGAAAAGTGAAAGGTGTCAGATGGGGAGGAAAGAATGATGCGGCGTGCGAATATAAAATTAAAAGCTTGTCTTGATTGCTGCCCACTCAAAATGATATTTGCCAGAAGATAGTTTCTGGGTCTTTTAAATTTGCTGTATTAACTACTGTCTTAACAAGCTCCACCTAATAAGCCTTTATAAAGAAACTGTACATGATGCAAGGTTTTTGAAAAATGTTGTAGGAGCACAGCACCTTTACCCAAATGTGGTTGGTCGGTCTTGCAGATGAATGCTTTGGAATTAACAGATCAGTTTGCTTGTTGGTGTTGTTTTTAAACTATGGGCTGTTGCTTTTTATAGTTTCCCTAGGCTTATTTCTTTGGATTGGGAAAACCCCAGGGATACCAAATCAGAGTTAATATATTAAATATTTTGTCTTGCCTAAGAATATATCTACATCCCTCTTTAGGAAGCCTTACATATATATATATATATGTGTGTGTATTGCTATCAATGAGGCTGGTAATTTTATTTTAGACTTCAGGTCAAATTTTATAGAATTTTTAAGGAGTATGTTACTGAAATAGCTGGTCAGCTGGGCTTTACTTTTTTTCTAGTGGTTTTAGGAATTTTCAGGAAATTGATTTTCTAGTTCTGTCTTAAGTGTACCTTATGCATAAATAGTAAATGCTTATATCATGAAATATAATGAAAATAATAGCTAGTGCCTGTTGAGTCCCCACCAGGAGCCAAGCAGAGCACTGCAAATATTATTTTATTATGTTATTTTATTTTATTCTTAAAACAACCTTATAACCTTATTAAGTAGGTGCTCTTGGTACTCTTTCTTTAAATTGAGGAAAGAGGCCAAGTAATGTGTTCAAGGGAACTTGGACCAAACTAGTAGGCTGATTGAACTGTGATTCAAACCAGGCAGTTGAACTTCAGAACACTGGCTCCTAAAATGCATGATTTATAATATTCCACTATTTTGTAATTTTTGTGACAATATTCTATATATACTGTTCATCAACTTTCATTCTTTTTTTTTTTTTTTTTAAAGAGATAGGGCCTCTTTCTGTCACTCAGGCTGGAGTGTGGTGGTGTGATCATAGTTCACTGCAGCCTTGTGCTCCTGTGCTCAAGTGATCCTCCTGCCTCAGCCTCCTGAGTAGCTGGGACATGTATGTGCCACCACAACTGGAAACTTATTTTTTTTTTTGAGATGGAGTTATTGCTCTTGTTGCCCAAGCTGGAGTGCAGTGGTGCGATCTCGGCTCACTGCAACCTCCATCTTCCTGGGTCAAGCGATTTTCTTGCCTCAGCCTCCTCAGTAGCTGAGATTACAGGCACACACCACCACACCCAGCTAATTTTTTTGTATTTTTAGTAGGGACAGGGCTTCGCCATGTTGGCCAGGCTGGTCTCGAACTCTTGACCTCAGGTGATCTGCCCGCCTTGGCCTCCCAGTATGCTGGGATTATAGGCATTGAGGCACTGTGCCCGGCCCCAGATAATTTTTCCATGTTTTAATGGAGACAGGTCTTGCTATGTTGCACAGGGTTGTCTCCAGCTCTCGATCTTCAATGATCCTCCTGCCTCAGCCTCCCAAAGTACTGGGATTACAGGCATGAACAACTATGCCCAGTCTTTTCTAGACATTTAAAAATCGTTTTTATTCAGAAATTTTATTAAATGGGAAACAAAAACATATGTTTTAGACCCCAATATAACTTTTTTATCCCTTGCCTATGATACAAAAACATGTCCTGATTTATTAGTTTTCTCCAGACTTATCTTTCAAATGAGATTTGCACAGATGTACATGGCTGCAAACGTTGAAATGAAAACCGAGGCTGTATTTCTGAAGCTTAGAAATATTTTAATATTTAAATGAAATAATTGTATTTAAATGATACATTTTTATTTTAGGGTTTGATATCATAAATATGCAACTGTGTTTCTCATGGTTTATTTTATTAAACACATTGCTCACTCTTCTACATTATCTTTCCTATATTACTGGTTTTATTTTCCTGACAATTATTAAGGATATCTTTGTCTAAATCTTAACACTCATTGGAATCTTTCCTCAAATAGTCAAGGCTAATTTGTGTACAAACAATAACTTAAACCTATCTTTGTGTGACTGTTTTCTGTGCTTGCTATAGCCCAGTCACCTAATTCAGTGTAGTGTCATTGGAATTTCTTATTCTCTTCTCAGATTTTGATTAAACTCAGTTCAGTAATGAGGTGCTGTGAGAGGTTTTCCTCTTTTCCAACCTCTTAGTGCAATCTCTCTCTCTCTCTCTCTCTCTCTCTCTCTCTCTCTCTCTCTCTCTCCCTCTCTCCCCCTCCCTCTCTCTCCCTCTCTCCCCCTCTCCCTCTCTCTCTCCCTCTCTCTCTCCTCTCTCTCTCTCTCTCTTTTTGTATTCTCATCTGTAAAACAAAGATAATAATAGTACCCCTCTCACGGAATTGCTGTGTTAGGAGATATATATATGATTGGCACAGAGCAAACACCTTGTATTAGCTTTTATTGTGTTATATTAACTATTATGAAGATTGTTTTTTAATTCTGTATAGTATGTAAGATGTGGCTTATCTTTATAGATGCCTTTATTAGCTCTTTTCTGAGGTGGCTTAAATATATCACACCTACAATTCACCAATTTACCTAATGTAATTAAAAGCACAAGAACCAGGGGTCATGAAAAACAGTACTGCTTATCCATTGGTAATATTTACAAATAACAGGCCCTTTGCATCAAGGTCTATAGAAAATATAGACTATAAAAAACCTGATATTGAGAATGAGTTGACTCCTTGAGATTGGGGCTTTCTCTCCTTCATCTCTGTTTTCCCTGTAGTTACTTTCACAAAGAAAGGTCCTCCATGATTTCAACAAAATCCAGCTAGATCAAGGAATTATCAAGACCTGAGAATTGTAGATACCATCAGATTCTAATTACCCACAATGATAGAAAAGAGGCATAAAAATGACACGACACCCACAAGAACTCAGACCTCATTTAAACAAAACACACTTGTATAAAAACTAATAAATTAACTGACATGACTTCATTTGGTTTCCCTTTATCAATACCTTCTAGTAGTGGGGATAAAAACTGGGAAGATGAATAAGCTATAAATTGGCTACCAGCACAAAACGAACTGATTTCCTAGGTCTGAAATGTCATCGTTAAATCAATATTTTATTTTGGCTTATTCTAGGGATAGCACTTCTTTGGCTAGCATTTGCTGGAATTTGATAATTGATGCTTCTGGTTTTGTTTGTACGTGAACTTAGAGAGGAACACGTTGTAGAATCAAAGCTTGTGGCAGGGCCAGCCCTAGATGGGCTGGGATGTGGGGAATGCCACTATAGGAATGTTCTGACTATGTCTTTGGTGTCTTAATCAGCTGGCATGAGAATTAAGGTCCTTGAGGTCAGAAAACGTCTATAAAGCTCTATCTTCTTTGCCTAGCACAGTACCTAGAAGTGAAATTCTTGTCTGTAGACCTAGTCCTTTCAAAATTAGCAGAGATAATTGTTGTCTCAGTGGATAGAGGGAGCCTTCCAGAGGATGGAGCAAGAAAGTTCTCTTCTTCCCATTATTATCTTACATGAATCTTACAAAAACTAGCTGCCACTAAATAGCATCTCTCCCTGCAGGAGCATGTGTGTTTGGACCCGTAGGAAGCGCAGTGAGAGACAGCTACTTGCCACGTGTTCTAGTTTACATTTCTGGTGAGGAAATACTTGCTCTCCAATACCCAAACCCTAACACTTTGGAAAACAGTTTAGATCTCAGAGCACAGTTTTGTTGTTCTTGCTTTGCTGCTGCTGCTGCTGTTTTTCCTTCGAATTTGTATGCTACGTTAATTGGATCTTCTTTGTAGATTTCCAGGACAACTCTATATAAGGCACATCTTGCTTGCCCAAGTTAGGAAAACACAACTAAGCTCATGAACCAAGTTCCCGCTACATTCCTGCTATATGCAAGGAACTCAGCTGGAAGCTTCGTTGATGAGAAAAAAATGAGTGGCTTCTTGCATGGCATTGGGGTAAAGATTGCAGCAGGCACACAACAGGCAGTATTGCACTTTATGTTCAGTGGCTAGTTCCTCTAAAAGCCCTTCCTTTTCCACCACATATTTAGGAAGATTTTTCTTCCAACCTACCATCATTTGGCAGAACTGCAATCTGTAAAGAGTTTCATCGTGTTCTGCTATTTCCCCGTTTTTCCCTTTTGTTTTGCTTTCTTTCATTTGAGCTATGACTATGTTCCATGACTCCAGCATGAGCTCTTGTGGAGCCTTGAAAACTGTTTTTCAACTCTTCCTTTTAGGCTGTGTCAAACTAACTTCCTCCTTGTTATTAAAACAAAACCTAACAAATCTGGGGAAAAAAAAAATCTCCTACAAGCTTGTAGTAATAGGTACTCCTTAGCATGATTCACTATACCAGGATGTTGAAATTTAATTATGTTATTCCCACCATTGTTTTAATGTCCAAACCACTAACTTTCTGAATGTCCTGCTTTGTTTTCTTAGATAAACTATTGCAAGTAAGAATTGATCAACATTAAGAAACTTCTTTTCAAATCATGCAAAGTTATATGACTTAAACAATTGCTCTGGCTGAGGAAGTAGAACAGAATTGTTATCTTAGACTTATTCTTTTTTTTTGGTATATGAGATTTACTGTTAATATTTTGGCCCAGATAT